AAATGATACACCATTTCTTAGCAGATTAACAGTTCCTTTTAAAACAATTTATGGAAAATAAGATAATTCTACTAAAAAAATTCCTATAGCTCTAGTTGTTCAACAGCATGTGCCAGGCTTCATGGCTGTCTGGTAGACCTAAGCAATTACGATGTGCAGGTTGTCACGAGTTTTTTCTCATCTTCCTTCTTCCACCCTTCTATTTTTCCAACTCCCATGTACTTCTCCTATATTGTTGGTGCTACTGATAACCACACTTACCAACACACTCCCCTGCCTGCACATATTCAATGTGTCTCCCAACCCAGCCCCTCTATACTCCTCCAGTAAGGGGACCAGTTAGGAAATGGTAGGGCCATTTCTGCTACCAATTGGCCCTATGTAATTCTTTTTTTTTAATTTTTATTTTCTATTTTTTTTTTTGCTCCCAGGGAAATAAACAACTCTCTGGGGAAAGGCAAGGAGATGTAATAAGATCCACTTCCTAAGAGCCATTTCTAGGATACAGGCAATGGGCTCTGATAATTCATAGATCCCATTTATTTTTAATCTCGTTTTTGGGCAGTTCATGAAATCCCTGAGAATTCACATTCCCAAACTGGAATCAAATAGTGAGAAAAGAATGAATCAAAATGTACAAAACATAAAATGAATATGATTGTATACATTGGACAGAAATTACTGCCCTAATATGCACTTCTGACCAAGCAGAAGTAACAAGGACCAGACTTGTCTTTGGGTATTAACCAATTAAAAATCCAAATAAAATGTATGAAACAAGATAGTGGACATCAGGAAATGAAGGACAATGGTGCCCAAGAGACAGAAAACAAATGAGGTGAGCTCCATTCTTCCCCGAGATTACTGCTTTAAGAGTTCCAGTTCCAGTTCAGAGAAGGGAAATCCAAGCAGAGCCCAGCCCACCGTGAGTTGAGGAGAGGGATCTGAATGTTTCTGGAAAGCCAAGGTAGCTAGAGTTCGCAGGATACACTCTTAGAGAGGAGAGAGGCTCACAGAGTGAGAATGTTAGAGATCTGCAGAGGGTCTCCTCACCCCTCCCCCAAATCTGAATTCTGCAAGTTCTGATATGGAGGTGTTTTTGGGGGTGTGTGTGTATGTATGCTATTATTCAGTTGTAGAAGTGTTTTAATTTCAATTATGATTTCTTCTGTGGCTCAAGGGTCACTTAGTGGTCATTTCTTCATTTCATTAAGTCACTTATTTTCCAAACTTATATATTTTTAGTTGATTAGCCCATTGTGGTCACTGAATATGATAGCAAATTTATTGAGCCTTTTTTTTTCTTACTCCATTTTTTGGGAGGTTGTTCTGTGGTTTTACATTCTACCTCTATTTTTTTGTGGTTATACTTGAAAACCTAAAGTTTATATTTAACTTAGCAAAACCGAAAGTTAAACAGTATCTCTATTATCTTCTAGAGCAATACAAGGACTTTAGAATACTAATTCCTGGAACTTCCCTTTTTATTTATATGCTATTCTAGCCAAGCATCTTCTTCCTTTTCAAATTCTAGATTATTGTGTTATTTAATTTAGTTCACGTTTGTTTAAAATGTTTGCTACTTTCTTTGCTCTTAATTTCTATTGAGCTGCCAGACTGAGGTGATTGATTAGGACAATTAGCCAAAATGATATTAACAATAATGCCTTTACTACTTACTGAGACAGTGTAAACAAGATGCAAAAATAGGCACCAGTTCTCCAGTGTTCCATTTTCCCCCACAGAATGGTGCCAGGCAAAAGTCAGGTGAATCAGCACAGATGGAGGAGAATCTTAACTGCCAAAGAGCTCTGAACAAAAGACTCCTGCCATTTTATGGACTTGGGGTGGAGCCAGGGAAGGAGAGAGGGTGGGGAAAGGGCCAGAGTGGAAAGAACTGAGTCACAGTAGACAGAAGTATCTTAGTCAAGATTCCCAAAAAGGAGGCCTCTGAATGGAGATGTTGGGCTTGGAATGCAGATATGTTTATGAGAATGGCTGGCCCAGAGGTCCTGAGTGCTTGACTGCAACTTCTTTCAGAAAACTGTAAGGCACCAGCTGTGTACCAGGTCTTGCATGAGGAGGATAGCTTTTCCCTGTGAGGCCTGCCAGGCAAAGCCCTTGTAATTGCCTGTAGTTGGGCCTAAAAGATCACTGATTTTTCATGTGGAGCTAAGACTCTCCATTTCTTGTCTTCACTCTAGGACCACTGAGTTTTGCCAGGAGTACACACTTTCACATTTCCTTTAGTGAAGGTCTGCTGGTGGTAAACTCTCTGTTTTTATTTACCTGAAAATACCCTTATTTTGTTCTCATTCTTGAATGATACTTCTGCTGAGCATAGAATTTTTAGGTTGACAAATGTTGTCTCTTAGCATGTTGAAGATATCTTTCCAATGTCTTCTGACTTGCACTGTTGCTATTATTAAGAAGTTAGCTATTATTAATTGTTGCTCCTTTTAAAATAATTCATCTTTTCTCTCTTGGTTCAAAGATCTTCACTTTTGTGGTCTACAGTTTCTCTACAACATGTCTTAGTGTAGATTTCTTCTCATTTCTGCTGTTTGGGATTCACTGGACTTCTTGACTGTGCGAACTGATCTGATTCATTATTTCTGGAAGATTTTCATTTATTATTTCTTCTTATTCTCATGTTCTATATTATTTTTTCTCATTTATTATAATTCTTTGTCCTACTTTTTCTTTTTTGCAACCCTGATTAAATATATATTAGATGATCTAACTCTATCTTTCACATTTCTTAACCTTTCATTCATATTTTCCATATCTTTTTCATTCTGTGCTAAATTCTCATTAGTTTCTTCACTATTCTTTCAGTTCATGAATTCTCTCATCTGCAGTTAAACTGGCCCTCTGATATTTTTTTAAAGATTCTATTTATTTATTTGACAGAGAGAGACAGTGAGAGAGGGAACACAAGCAGGAGGAGTGTGAGAGGGAGAAGCAGGCTTCCCGCTGAGCAGGGAGTTCAATGCGGGGCTCGATTCCAGGACCCTGGGATCATGACCTGAGCCGAAGGCAGACACTTAACAACTGAGCCACTCAGGCGCCCCAACTCTCTAATTTTTAAATTTCACTTCCAGTTGTCTATATTCCTTGAAGTTCTGTTTGTTGTTGTTATTTTATTATTATTTTTTGCAATATGCCTGTTCACTTTTTATAGCCCTGTGCTCTCTCACTCAATTTTCAATCTCTTCTTTTACTTCCTTAAACATAATAGAGTTTAGAAAATTCTCAATCTAAAAATTCCAATATCAAAGGACACTGCAGGTTAATTATGGTTTGTTTTTTTAGTTTGTTTTTGCTCAGAATGTTATGGGTCTGTCTTTCTGTTTGTTTTTTTTTAGTTTTTTTTTTTCTTTTGACTGTAAGTTCATATTATCGTAACTTTATCTATGGGAATTTCTTCGGACCCTCCACTCAGCACTTATTCAATAATGGTAATTTTCTTTGCAGTCTTCAAATTTATTTTTAGTTCACCATAGCATTGAGGTATAATTCTTTGAGGTCTCAATTTTATTGGGGGGTCTCTAGTATCGTTAATATGGCAGGCTTTGGGATTTGTCTACAGTCCTCTGAACCCTGAAAAGCAGCGAAAATGGAAGTAAAGTTCACCACCTTCTGCAAATTTTCTCAAAGAGAAAGCTGGTTTAATGTTCTGTGTCTCCCTCTTGGTTCTTGCCTTCAGTTAATCTTTTGTCTAATATTCTTTACCTTTTAACCAGTTAACTCATACATTTAAGAAAGCGTTTCTCAGATGGTATCCAGAATTTTTGTTTTCAGTGTAAGCGTCAAAGTACCAGTTTGCTGCCTTGCCAGAAATGAAAGACCTACTGTGTCTGTCAATCCTTTTAATTATTACCATTAATAAAACTGATACTTTGTCTTCTCCTTCTGGAAATTCAAATACATATATGTTAGGTCCCTTGATATCCAATGACATGTATATTAGACCACATACATATTAGATCACAACTCTTGGAAGCTCCATTCTGGTGCTTGTTTGTTTGCCTTCACTATTTCTTCCCTTCCTGTTTTAGTTTGGGCAATTTTTATCGACCTATTTTCAAGTTCATCCATTCTTTCCTCAGCCTTGTTCAGTATGCTAAAACATCCAACTAGGAAATGCTTCATCTCTGATACTATATTTTTTATTTTGGCATTGACATTTGACTCTTTTATAGTTTTCATCTCTCTGTTGAAATTCCCCTTCTGTTCATACATGTAGTTTCTAGATCTTTAATGTATCAGTCACAGTTATGTTAGAGTCCCCTCTGATAGTTCCAGGTTATCTTTTACTCTGGCTCTCTTATTTGCTTTAACTCTTGACAATGCATTTATTTTTTTCTTGCAGTTTTTTAAATTATTATTATTATTATTATTTTTAATTTGACAGAGAGAGACACAGCGAGAGAGGGAACACAGCAGGGGGATGGGAGAGAGAGAAGCAGGCTTCCCGCTGAGCAGGGAGCCTGATGCAGGGCTCGATCCCAGGATGCTGGGATGAGCCGAAGGCAGACGCTTAACGACTCAGCCACCCAGGCGCCCCCTTAAATTATTTTTTTTAATTAAATACTGGACATTGTGTGTGGAAGAATAGTAGGTATTGTTCCCAGAGTGGACGAGGATCAATGTTTTTGCTCTATTGGGCCCGATAAGTATTATTTAGCCTCACTGGGCCTCAACTCCATTAACAGCAAAGTGGGAATAAGCTCCAACTTCATAGAAATATTGTGTGAAATATATAAAACATAAATGTCAAATATTACTGTCACTTGCCTGGAGATAGACCTTAGTCATTATGTTTAATAAGGCAACTAGATTATACACACTTGATTTTTATCTCCAAATGGTGACATCTTTTTTTCCTGTTAATTAAAAAAATTCACATTTCATTTTACAAATTCTAATGAGATGAAAATGTACAAATTAGAAAGCCAAGTGCCTCCACACATTCAACTAAGACCATACTATAATTACGTATTCCTCAACTCCTTCAATAAATAACATAAAAATTGGTATCACTGCATTTGATTTAATGTTCAATACACACATAAAACCCAGAGATCTTCCAAATATTTATCCAGTATTTACTTTCAAAGTAGAAACAATAATTTTTACAGGTGGTATAAAGAAAGGTCCCCACTGTGATCCCTACCATATTTTGATTCTATGTGGGGGTGAAGATCATTTCTTCCTCTAGAAACAGAGAATTTGGAAGTATCAAGAAAGATGGTAACAGAAAGTATGAGAAAGTACTGTGCTTTGAAAATGGATCAGATGAGATGAAAGTGTTAGTTGAAGAGGGACTTCCTGGAACTGCAGACCCAGCATTCCTGGCCAGAAAGGACGAAAGTGCTTTCTTTCCTGTTCTTGCTAAGACCTGGGCAGCATTTCCTCCATGTCCGCGATGACGTAAGAGACAACAGCCCAAACAGCAGCAGCCACGTTCATCTGCTTTGGATCCATGACAGTCATGGTGTCTCCATGGGAGTGATGGAAGGAGAAGTATTTATAGAGGTCATCAAGTAGACTAGCTCCTGGGGAGAAAAGAGGAAGAATTCTTAGTGAAGTATTTTGACAGAGATTGCTGAATAGCTGCTCAGAAACCATTGCTGCTCTTCCCTGCTTCACTCTTCCTGCTCCTACTATGCAGGCTGCAGGGGCAAAATCATTACTTTCCCAGGCTCTCTGGCAGCAAGAAATGGCCAAGTGAATACCATTCTTACTACTAGGATATGAGTGGCAGGCTGTGGGAAAGTTCTAGGAAAGCCTTTACTTTGCTGACAAGAGTCAGAAAAATGCCCTAGTGCTGCATAAAAGTAGATGAAAAGTTTGGAGCTGCATGGGGTAATAAAGCCCCCACACTAAAAATGGCCAAGTGGAAAGACAGAAGGAGTTCAAAAACACTGCTAGTCCACTGAATAGGCTCTACATTGCCTACTTCTGGACTATCTGCCATGTTGAAGATAAAACTTTATTTAAGTAACTGATAGAAATGTCCTATTTATTTATAAAAAATATCTGCTTTTGTATCTGCAAGAGTGCAAATTATGTACCTTCCTGGATTCAAAAGAAAGCCCACACTCTTTTGCTCAAGTTTTTTTGCTCAAATCATTCATATACTTCCCATGAAATTTCCCAACAACCTCTAAGGGCATCAGCAGGCACCTCTGCCTCACTTAAGAGCTTTCTTCTTTCTCTAGTGAAGCTTTTCTCTAGCTTCCACCATGGACCACAGCCTTGGGGAGTCTTTGCCGTCCGTTAGTCATCCTTCAGAACCTCTTGGGCCCAGTTTGTGGATTCCAACTGCAGTTCTTTATCCTCTGGCCTTATTTATTTATGTGTGGTGTTACTGTGAACCACACATACATAAGACTGAAGAGAACACAAATGCATATCAGGATGGATGACAATATAAAAAGTATGCATATGTCCACAATCCACTGCAAGAAAGATACTACCAGTACCTTTGAAGCCCATTTTATGAGTTCCCTCACCCCTTGTTGAAACTTTCCTCCCTCCAGAGGTACCCACTTTCCCATTCTGCTTGTGTGTTAATCACTCCTTGATTTTTAAGAAATTAGTTTTACCGTATATTTATATGGCATTACAAATAAATAAATAAATAAATAAATAAATAAATAAATAAATAGTTTAACACTGTCTGCCTTTGAAACACATACACCAGATATATTTCTGTGACTTGCTTTTTCCACTCAGTGTGTATAGCTGTGGTATTTTCATTTTTTTATTGCTGTACATTATTTCATTGAATTTATTTATCCATTTTCCTGCTGATGGACATTTAGGTTGTTTCCAGTTTTCTGTTATTATATGTTGTTATCAGCATTCTCTAGCATCTAAATAAAGGAATGGACTTGCTGGGCTATAGAATAGGTGTGTGTTTAATTTTATTGTGTAATTCCAAAATGTTGCCCTTTTCAGTGTGCACTTCTGCTGTCAGTATGTGAGTCTTCCTCTTGTTTCATAAGAGCACTTGCTCTTGTCAAGCTAATATTTGCTAATCATTACAGTTTTAACTTTAACTTTTAAAATTATTAATGAGATTGAACATGTTTTCATATATGCATTTTTTTGTCATTTATGTTTGCTCATTTGTGGAATACTCGCTCATGCCTTTTGCCCATTTTTCAATTGATTTGTCTTTTCTTATTGATTTGTAGGAATTCTTAAAATATTTTAGATACTAAGAATAAGAAGTGCCTTAATTACTACTAGTAGCTTAATTACTACTGCTTTCTATTTCTTGTAATTGGGCAGAGCAAATTCCCCCACCTTCTCTTCCTTCCCCTTCAGGAATGTCTTACTATTCTTAACTGATCTTTCAGATGAACTTTGGAATCATTTTAAAATTGTACAAAAAATATTTTTGGATTTTGATGGAAATTGTGTAAATCTACATGTCAATTTGGGGAGAACTCACATCTTTATATTAGGATATTGTGTTCTTATCCATGAAAATGGTATATTGATATTTCCTATTTATTGAAGTCTTCTGTAGCATCTTTAAAGTTTTGTGATACAGCTTGCATACCTTTTGTTAGTTTTCTTTTCTCCAAGGCTTATACTCTTTGTTGCTAATTGTAAATTGTACATTTAAAAAGAATTGCATTTTCTGTTTGTGGCTATCCATTTTTAGCATCAAGGATATATCTGATTCATTAAAAGGCAGGTGTTCCTTCTTTTGTACACTCTGGAGCAGTTTGTGTAAGATCAGAATGATTCATTTCCTGTTTTTTTTTGTAGAACTCTTTACAAAACCATCTAAGTCTGATACTTTGCTTATGGTAAATATTTTAACTAATGATTCGATTTCTATCCTGGTTATTGGGCTATTGGGATTTTGTATTTCCTCTTGAATTAACTTTGGAAATTATATTTTTTAGGAATGTGTGAGTTTTGCCCAAATATTCAAAATAATCAAAGTCAAAATAATCAGCATGAAGTTATCAGTAATATCCTGTTTTTATCTGTTTATGTCTGCATGTATAGGAATGCACTTTTTTTCATTCTCCATATCAGTTATTAGTGTCTTCTCTCTTTTTTGTTCATCAGTCTTGCCAGCAGTTTGTCAGTCATATTAGTTTTTTGAAAAAAAAAAAAAAAGAAAAAGACAATATTTTTAACACTCTCTACTATAGAGTGGTTTTTCTTCCATTGATTTCTACTCAAATTTATTGTATCCCTCCTTCTTCCTTCTTTAGCTTTATTTGCTTTTCTTTTTCTAACATCTTGAGTTGAATGTTCAGTTTATTGCTTTGCAGCTTTCTCTGTCTCCAGCATAAGCAGTAAGGCTGCAATCTTCCTCCTACTGCTGCTTCAGCTATCTATATCCTGCCAATTCTGAGGAGTATCTTCAAGATCGCTCAGTTCTAAATATTCACCAATTCCTGGTTTGATTTCTTTTCTTTGATACATAAGTTAGAATGTATTTTCTAATTTTTAAAAGTATGGGGGTTCCCTTAGTTATTTTTTCATTATTGATTTCTAATTTAACTTACAGAGAATGCAGGCTATATGATACAGATTCTTTTCAATCTATTGAGATCATGACCTGAGCCAAAGGCAGCCACTTAACCGACTGAGCCACCCAGGCGCCCCACTCCCCCATCATTTTACTTGCACTCTTCCTTGCTCCTTATGTTTTTAGAGGTTTCTCTTATGAAGACTTTAAAGTTGAATTTTAAAAATCTAGTCTAACAGTTTGAATTTTAACTGGACAGTATAATTTCTTTATGAAGATTGTGATTACTATTAAATTGAATTCATTTATGCCATCCTAGTTTTTGCTTTCTATTAATTAATTTTGTTTTCTAGATTTGTTTTTTTTCCCTCTTTTCTTTCTTGCCTTCATCTGTGTTGATTTTTCCCTCTCCTATCTTTCCTTTTCTCCCCCCTCCCACTCTACTAGTTTGAAGGTTACACGTTTTATTTCAATTCCTTCAGTGGAGACCTTAGAAATAATAGCTCACATACTTAGCCAAAGTTAATCAATATCTTATTTAAGGACACTAGGGCCCCTTTGTCTCCAGATGCACTCACTGCTCATTAAAAACCATGGTTCAGGGAAACAGATTGGCAGATACCCTCACACAAGATACCCTCTGCCAGGCTCCAGAGTTCTCTTACCCCTATCAATTCTTGCTTTATCATTTTTCATCTCTGAGGAATTCCCTTACTTTGCCTCACTAAGCCATGTATTATAGAAAGGCAATTTTGTTTTATCCACAATTATTTTTGGTGGAGAAAAATGTGTCTACAAACTTCTGGTCTACCATATTAAAAGTGTTCTCTTCCCATAGTCCTCTACTTCCCGCCCTGTGGATTGGACCCTGTCCTTGTTTCTGAGACCTTCGTGGCCTCAGGATGTTGTCTAGATTTTCTCTATTCCAACCCAAATTTTAAAAACTTTGTGCCAAGGTTAATCTCTATCTATGGCCCCAAACTCCTTGCTCTGAAGTAGAATTTGGATTTATTTCCATTCATATTTCACATTGAGATCAGCTATGGTGCTATTAAACAAACACAAGCCAGTGAGGCAAAAAATAAGTGTAAAAGAAAAACTCAAACCTCACCTCTGACAACTAATGACTCCAATGCCTGCCAAGAAATATCCAAAACAGGGCGTATTCAGCTGACAATACCTAGTAAACCCTTCACCCGTGTGGAGGAGAGTTCTTCCAATTCAATAATTTTTCTTTCTAAACTAGTAAAACGTGTTTTCTGTTAGCCCAGCGGCTCTGAAAAAAGTGGAATCTGACCATCATCCAGCCTGATAATGTAATACCATCAGTGGCTGGGCTGGAGCTGAGGTCCACAAACATTCAGAAGGCTTGATCCAGTTCAATTGGGCAAATACTTGAGTTCCTACAATATTCTAGGCAGTAGTCTAAGGACTGAGGCAGGCATAAAGATGAAAAAGACACAGCTGCTGCTCTCAAAAGAGACAGCTTTTGACAGAGTGTCCACAAGCAATAATAACACAGAATGTACTGAGTGCCACAAGGAAAGGACAAAGAAATAGCAGATGGCTCATGTAGCTGCATGACCTTCTTTGGCCCCTACACTAGGTCCCCTTGTTTTGTGCACTCCATACTTCTCTTATAATCTCCACCATCTTTTGTTATAATTGTACGTTTGAAATCCGATTTTCCCATTATACTGTAAACTCTCTGAAGGTAAGGCCTCTGTTTTGTTCTCTACTCTGTCACCAATGCCTATAACATAGTGCCAAATAGAAGATGAATGTGTATTTGTTGAGCTAATGAATAAAATTGGTGAATTTTATAAGTAAACTGGGCCTTGAAGGTGCTGTACCAGAGTCCTTGTAGGAAACAGATGGGATGCTCCAAAAAGTTTACTTGGAGAATTTGATGAAAGGACTATTTACAAAGAGTGGTCGGGGTTAAATAAAGCCCAGAAGAGATGCTGATGCCTCCTAGGGCTGGCAACAAAGAGAGCCATTACCATTCCTAGGCTTAGAAGGCAAAGAAAGCAGCTCTGGCTGCAGGAGAGG